GGCACCATACTTCCTCAGGGTTCATGCCCTCAAGAGGTCTCAGCGGGCCCTGCAGCCACCAGAAGCCCCCCGAAAGAGATCTAGATGCTGAGAAGGGGAAGGGATACTTCACACTGACATTTCCTTATTGCACGAGCTGTTTGGGATGTGCACCATTTCTACAACTACTCATTTCATTCCCCTCCTCTCAACCAAACAGCTGATTCCTTCCTGGCGTCAATAGGAGAGATTGCAGGATTTCCACCTCACATGGCCCTGAGCTACTTCCTCTCCAATCTTGCCCACCATCTACTGAGGCCCAGGAAAGGGCTTTTGCTAAGGTACAGGAGTCAGGGTGACTGGGCAGCAAAAAGGTCAGTGTTGGGTTTGATGTCCTGGTGAGTAGCCAGGGATAGCGGCCCTGGGCGGAGGGGCAAAAGCCAGGATTTTATCCAGTGGCCTCCACCTCCCTTCAAACAGGCTGCATCCACTACCACCTGGGGACTCACTGGTGTCAGTAAGTTGGTCTTTCAAAGGAGGGTAAGACTGATGCTTCACAGAACTGAAAGGATGCAATTTTGACTGGGAAGTGGATAGGGGGCAGAGCGCAGGCCTGGGGTAGGCAGAGTCCTACTGGAGGGGAGGAAGCGGGGAAGAGAGGGTGAGAATAGAGGGAAGACAAAGGCAGGCTTCAGGGACTTACTGATTTCCAATTCCACGGTAGAACCAACTTGCTGCACTCCAAACACTCCTGAAACGGGACCTGCTGCCTTCCTGCACACACCTCCAATGGGCTTCAGTAAAGAAGGACTGCTGAGCAGGGCGGCTCAGCTCAGCTCGTGTCCCCTGCCCACACTGTACTGCTTGGCTTTCATGCCTACAAAACTCCACATGCTCTTCCCTCTTTTGGAAAGCACTTCCTCTCCTCAAGTAGGCTGGTCATGACTTAAGTCACTAGTCATTCTGCTCCAGTCTTTTTAAGCCAATCTGGGGAGGTTAAGAGAGCCCACAGCCCTCTGAAGACCCCTTTCCTGCTAAAGCTCTCAGCCTGCTCGTTTATTTGGTTCCCTGCCTGCCTCTTCCTTTAGATGCTGGGATAGGACTTCAATGAGGACAAGGAATGGGTTTAGTGGTTTTTGTGTCTCTCAGTGCCCAGCACACAGCAGGTCCTCAGTTGGCACCTGCGCAAGGAAGCGGGCATGGGACCAGGTTATGAAGGCAGTTAAGTCCCAATGGGTACTAGTCCAGGCTGGTCTGCCAAGTGGGTGTCCTCCCAGCCTCCTCTGCCCTCCTCACCCCCCATCTCCTTCCCTTTCTTCCTGTTAGAGTATTCCAAAGACATCCCCCACTCACAGGATTCAAGTGATCAGTCTTTGGAAGTTCAAAGATGACATGGTTTGGAGATACCACAGAAGAAATGAAACACTCTGGGCCATTTTTTCTCAGGAAGGCTTTTTCAAGCAAACATGTCTCCTAAGATAAGAGTCTAGATAAGAGCTCTAACCTCTGTGGATAATAAAAATGACACCATTTGTGCATCTCAAATAACACCCGCTGCCCACACCCTTTTACCAAATCTCTAAGTCTAATTTCTAGGTATTCTAACAGCTAGAGTTCTCTGTGGTTCTGTCTTTTCAGATGTGAGGGATCAAGCATGTCCTGGGAATTTATTAGAAATGCAGATTCTCAGGCCCCACACCAGACCTACTGAATCAGGATTCTGAGTTTTATCAAAGCCCTCTAGGTGAGTCTGATGTGCACTAAAATTTGCAAACCACATTTTAGACTTTGGTGAGCCCACAGGTATGGTCTTGTACAATGCCCTATTGTTTAAAATGCAAACTCACATGAGGAAAATGGAACACAGGTTCATAAGGATATCAGTTTGTTCTTCTAGGCAGTGTTGTCTACATGCACTTTATGCAAGGATGGAAATGTTTTACATCTGCACCATTGATATGGCAGCTACTAGCCCCACAACGCTCTGAGCATTTCAAACATGGCTACTGGGACTGAGGAACTGAATTTTTATGTTTATTTAGTTTGAATTTAAATAGCCACACGTGGCTAGTGGCTAGTGGTATACCCTAATGGACAGTGCAGTTTTAGAAGATGACAAAACTGTATCTATAATCATATTCCATCTAGTTCCTAAAATCCCAGCAATACAGATCTTTAAACTGCATGCTCTTGGATCCTGCCGTATTTCTTTGTATCGCTTCCCTCCTTTATAGTATCTTGTATATATAGTATAGTATATAGCTGGGGTTCAGAAAATATTTGGCAACTGACCTCAGGTTAACTGAGTTTGTCATCTGTAAAATGGAAGGCACTGATTCACTGGTTCATTCATTCAAAGATTTACTGCTTATCTCAAGTTTGCTCTAACAAATTAATGTTTTGAAACTTTTTGAAGCACTTTAAAGCATTAAGTAAAGTAATATTCTTTCCGTGTAAAGATGACAAGGCTTTAAGTATATGATTCGTCTGTGGCAAATTAGAATTCTGAGGGCAGTAAAGCATGTCCTTATTGTGTGCCCTGCAGTGCATCTTTAAGATTTAAGGAAAAAGGATATAATAGAAGTCAACCTCAAAAACTGCGAAGGGATTTCTCTTTGGGGTAACACACATCTTTCAGACCACTTTGCTTTATGCTGGGGTCAGTTCAGGTAGATGACGGGTCTCATTTTTCAAGGTAAACATATATTTTCATCCTGTTGCCTAAAGCAAGGTAAAGCCTGGTCCTTAACTGTCCTTCATTCGTGGTTTGTATAAAAATGATTAAATTTGGATTCAGAAAGACTATACCCAAATTAAAACCTTTTTTTTTAAATTTTAAATTTTAAATATGACTGTTAACAATTTAGCCAAACCCAGACTGCCCCTGAATGCACCTGCCTGACTGGGAGGACTCAGTGCGAGGACTCCCTGCTCACTTGGAGGGCATTTGCAAAGCTCTTTCTTTCTCTGGCTCTGGATGCAACTCCAGCTAATACATGCTGAGGCTCCAGCTCTTCACAAGGAAACCGCCTGGGAGTGTGACAAGGACCTCCAGCCCGCGGCAAGAACCTGGGTGACCAGCAGATGAGGGAGGTGGCCCTGGATTGGATTGCCCTGCCCATCTTCAGTGATACCCACCCCTGGGGCTACAGGGTGTGGCCTGCCCTGGCTCTGAGATGCCCCAGAGGGAAAAGGTAGTTTGGGGGTGCCTTGTTCCTTTATGGCTGGTGTGAGGAACCTGCTAGGGCCGTGGCCCTCCCAGCAGAATGCGCGGTTACCAGAGAGGTGTGGCCGGGAGCAGCGTCCCCAAGTGCTGAAGCTGCACGGCACAGCTGCAGATGGGAGGGCACTAGAGGACACAGAGCCTGGGGAGTTACTCAGTTTCATTCACTCCACAGCAAGTGTCTGGGCAACCACCAGGAAGGTCTGGAGGGGTACGGGACAGGAGTGAACAGTTGGGTTAAAAGACAGAGGTAGTGTGGATCCAGTCAAGGTCTGGGCTCCAGGTGGAACTGAGGCGGAGGAACCTGCCCAGGAGTTTGGCGGCTTGCAGGGGTGCTCTTTAAATTTAAATTGTATGCCAGGGGGAAGCCCAGACACCATCTAGCCCAGGGGTGCCAAGCCTTTGCTCTCCACCCTCTCCTCCCTTACACAAGGCAGACATCACTAATGGACCCTGGTGCTCTTTCCCTCCAAGACTGGAGGCACCTCACAATCTGCAAAACAGGCCAGGTAACAATTACAAATCGCTCAGTTTGCTGACCAATGAAATGTCATGACCTTTCATGATCTGCACAGATCCATCCTCTGTACAATGAGGAATACTTAGTAAGAACTCATTTAATCTGCACAGCCCCATGAGAAGGGATCATCATTAGCCCCCTGTGAAAGACAAGGAGACAGTTGCATAAAGAGGTCAAGTTCTTGCTGAAGGGCCCCAGATAATGAGCTTGGAGCTGGGCTCCACACCCAGAGACCCCTGGTTCGTCACCACAATGCTGACACTGTCCACACATGGGTGAGATTCTGCTTGTAGGTTATCACAGAGCAAATAAGCACCTATGTTTTAGAATATTATATTTATAGATTCATGAAACTCCAACATGCACAGGATATTAAAACCACTGTATGAGACAATCACAGTAAAGGTGTAATTGCCTTTGTAAGCTTGCCAAATCAGAATGTAAAAGCTTTTATGAAAAGTTTCAGAAATGTGACTTACCAGGCAATGGTTTATGGCCCACTGCCTTTTGATCTCTTCTGTGAAAAATACGTACTTACATATATTGCAGGAAACCTCACCACTTCCTTCCTAAGTGTTGGTCAAAAACACTAATTACTTGACTAATTAGACTGTGAAACTTCCCTTACAGATGGTAAAATGGGCTATTTTCACCGCACAAATTTTGTTGTGACATGTCACCAAAAACATGTAGAAATGCTTCAGTGGGTTTACTGTAGACAGCATGAATAATTTAAGCATATCATATAAAAACAAATAAAAAACTAATGCAAATAGTCTGTTCTTTCACAAAGAGGGAAAATACTGGTTCTGGGTAGTAAAGCACTGACGCAGGAGACCTGTGACACGGCGACGTCCCCTCTGACAGGCGCCAGACCCCCTGTCCTGATGTGGGCACCCCAACCGAGTCCTCGGCCTAAGCTGCACGACGCTGAGGACTCTGAGTTCTTCCTGTCGCCACAGGCTGAGGCAGAGTGGCCCCCTTCATCTCCTCTCGCACTCCCTGCCTGGCAACGCCTATGCTCACTGGGAAGGCAGAGGGCACAGCCTCCCTTCAGCTCTGCGGTCACAGTGTCTCAGAAGGCCACCCTGGCACATTTGCCAAAGGAATCAGTACTGGAGACAGTGGAGCCCAGTACTAAGCAGTGCAGGTCAGGGAAGGGACGGCCTCTGCCCAGCCCGTGCTTGCAGGGGAGCCCCTGGGCCGTGGTTCAGGCACCCACGCGCAGGTGTGTTGAGAAGCTGAGACTTCCCATGGGGCTGGGGGAGGGGCACTCACCTGCATCGAGGCTGCCGGTGGCCGCCGTCCAGCCCATGACAGGTGGGATGGCCCCCACAATGGCGCCGACCCAGGTGTTGGCGATGCTGAGCCTCTTCAACGGGGTGTAGCAGCAGGTATACAGGAAAATGTTGAAGACCCCCAGGGCTCCCGTGAGTGGATTCACACCCCAGGTCAGAAGGGCAACCCCTGGAACAGCACAGCAAACGGCAAAGGACACAGCTAGCAACGGGCTGAAAGACAGCAGAGGACACAGAACAATCACTTTTCAGTCCAGCCAGCTGCGCCTGGAGACTCAGAGCTGCCGAAGAGCACACCACTATGTGCGGCGTGGCACCGGGGTGGCGGTGCTCTTCCTGATCTGCCAGCTGGGACCAAAGAAGTGAAGAGAGGGTAGAGCACCCAGGATTTGAGGACAGGTTCTGCCATCCCCAGCTGTGGGGTGTCTCCCTTGGGTCATCTGTTCAGGACAGGACAAAGTGAGAAGTGAGGACTGAGACAGTGGCTGTTCTGTGCAGGGCTCTGTTCTACGGGTAGCGGGAAGCAAGTGCCAGCGACCCATAAACACCTGGAACACAATACTGTAAGATCTGCGTAAAAAACAGTACCTTAATTCTGGAAGCAGTTCTACCCATCTGTACTTTAAAAACATCACCCAGTAAGTATTAATAGGTGACAAAGTGTGCCCACGTGTATCCCCCTGTGACAAAGCACAGACTCAGCATGGCACCAGCTTTGCACCCTCAGTGCAATGTGGGGGCTGTGCTGCAGGGACAGGGCACTTCAAGTTCAGTTTCAGAGCCGTGACTTGTTTTACAGGAATGCGATTTTCAGGAGGAGGTGGCACAATGCTTTATATGTAATAAGGATTGCCAAGTGAAACTATAATAGTGATGACGATCAGAAGTCTGATTCTCAGCAGAGCCCACTTTTTAATTTTGTGAAAGACTTTTGAAAGCGTAGCTGAATTGGATCTACTAGTTCCTGATTACGTGCATGTTTATTTACTCTTTCTTAAGAAACCTCAGGAGGTTATTCGAGGCTGCCTTTTCCCTACAGAGGCCATAACTGTGCCTTGTGGGGAGACTGTGTAGTGTCTGGAAATCGCACTCAATCACAGCACCCACAACGTGGTCCCTGGGAAGCAGGCATCAATGGTGAGCAGCTTTCAGGGTGCTCTGCCTTTAGCAATGGCCAATTCCTTTGCCCCTTCACCCTGCGTCCACAGGATAACATCTATCACTCATAGGGCTGCAGTGCGCATGGCAGGAGAGGCCCTGTGCCTACACACTGCACCTCCATGAAGAAGACTACCTTGGAGAATTATGCCACAGTAGGACTCAGCCAGAAGTGGGGGCCAGGGGAATGGGAGAGCCCACCAGTTGAAAATGCACATGATGTCAGGGCCACAGATCATGAAAGCTGGAAGTGACTTGCTGGAGAACTCTGGCTTCTGCTCTGATCTGATGACCAGCATTGACTCTCCTTGCAGGTCTGTGGCTACTCTGCCCAGAAGGTAGAACCCAACAGAGTGGGAGTTTGGATGGAAACAGAGAACGTACAGGGGACATGCTGTTAAGGTGCTTGTGACAGAAGGACTGGGAGACTTTTCAGTGCACGCTCAACCATGAGGGTTAATTTCCGAGCTCCCTTCCTGGCTACTTCTTGTGAATCATGTGGTCAGTTTCCAACCCTTACTCCACCCCCTCAAACTTTTATTCTGCCTGGTCCTTCCACCATCTCCATCCTGTAGATTCCCATTTCTGAATCTGCTCAATGACCTCTTGTCTCTGCTCCTGCTGGAGAAATCACACAAAGGGGCTGTTTTCAGGGGATGGCTTCTGAGTGTAGGTGCTTGGCTGGGAGGGGGGGGTCACCTCTCCCCTTGCTCAGGGAGACTGTTGTGACTCCTCTCCCACCTTCCCAAGGATCCAGATTTACTCCAGCCCCAATACCCTCAACAGACGTCCTTCCCTCCTTGTGTAGCAGTGACACATGCCCTTATCTTTCTCCCATTTGCACTGAAGAGCACATTCTCTCCATTTTTAAAGGAGAACTCTCCACTTTGCTCTTATTTAATCTCCTTCCAAATCTTTTATCTTTTGTCTCCACTGTCTACTGACTTCCTTGCATTCTCAGATCACCTGCTTTGTCTGTATTTCCCCCAGGTTCTTACTACTCCTCCTGAAACCAAGTATCCTGATGGAGTGGAAGACACATGAGTCTCTATTTCTCTGATCCCCTCATTTCCTATTTGTTCCAATTCTCTCTCTCACCCCTGGTGGAACACACTTCTCTCAGGCAGTGATACACACATGGGCCCTGGGGCCACCTATTTTCAGAGAGCATACAGTGTAATTTTCCAGATGAAACTTAGGAATATGCCTCTGTGCTTTTACATATCATGTATGCCCAGGCAGGAGAATTTGCATGGCTAAAAAGCAGTGCAAATACTGTAACGGTGGTTCTTCTTTCAGTCAGGCAGTTTATAGCTTATAAGAACAGATTTTTTTTTCCTATGGGACTGTAAAAAGCTAGTTTTATTTTGGGTGGGAGAAAAATGTGGCTCATAAACATTTTAATTTTTCCTGAATTGGACCTTGTGTAAAAAAAAGAAGGTTGTTCACTCCTTTTCCAAGGTCTGTGGAAACTGGTTGGATTCAAAGCTATTAGTGTTATGAAAAGCCCTTTTAGAAAAGCACACATGAATTTAATTTATTGAGATAGGCAATTTTACGGGGAAGTTTGGTTTCTGACCCTTGTCAGAATCACAGAAAATCATGAGGCTTAATTTTGGTGTTTAAATCAGTGTGTTCAGGGGTATGAATAAAAATTGGGTGGGTTTGACAATCCACGTAAACAAAAATAATATTTACCCAGGTAGCCACAACCATTCTTAGCACCTAGATACCTCAAGAACCCATTTCCCTCCTGGCGCAAGGAGCCCTGAATCGGCGAACTTCAAGACTTTCTTGTGATCTGGGCAAAGGAATTCCAATTGCAAACTGTGAAGTTTATTTTCCTATGACACTTTATTTTTCTTAAAACACACGTTATAAAAGCAGTACATGTTCATTTCAGCAATTTAGAACTACAGAAAATTACAAAGAAGAGATTCTAAAATATTCAGAGAAACATATTGGTTTCTATCTTTCAGCCTTTTCCCAGTCATATATCTGCTTAAAAAATAATGAAGAACATACTGACTTGTGGTTTTGTTAGTTTATTTATTGACTGGGGTTCATAGTTCTAGTTGGGATAAATTCTTAGATGTGTGATTGTTAAGCCAGATGACATGCACATTTTTAGGGATTTTGACCTACACGGCCAGTCTGGTCCACAGAGTTCATAGTTTACACTCCCAAGTGGAGTGTGCTACTCTCAACAGAGAAAGCCTACTGCTAGACCTGTATCAACAGGGAGTATCAAAGGAAAACATGTTTATTGAGATAGATAGTATTATCCCGATACTACAGATGAGAACCTGATATTCATCACAAGTAAAATAACTTGGTAACAGGAGCTGTGCTCAGATTTATTTGTTGGTTCATTCATTTAATCTAGAGCTCAGCAATAGGTATGTGGGCCCACTGATGTCATACGACTTACTGCTCCTCTTACTTCTTGGGTCTGCTGAGGGCCTGGGGTGGCTATGGCTTTTAGGCTGGTCACCTTCGGCTGGGAGCAGCATTTTGTGGGTTTAAAAGTTCCTTCAATTTATCCCACTGAATAAATAGCCTAACTTTCTATTGCATTCCTTGAGATGAAAATGACTTGGAAGCACTGAACTAAAAAACAAAAGATCTGGGATATCATACGGTATGGCCTTGTCCTGGGGCACTCACACTGGGATGGGAGACAGTAACACAGGCAGTGATGATCCAGAGCAGTGCGACAGGAAGCGCACGGGGTCTGTGAGCGTGACCCCAGTGTGTGCGGGAGTCTCGGGGGTGGATGGGGAAAGTTCTAAGGAAGAAGTGATGTTTAGACTGAGACCTGGTGGAAGGGTGGGAGATGGGCAAAAAAGGGCAGAGGGAGCATCTCGGGCAATGGGAGCTGAGAGTTTACAGCACACCCCCTCACACACCCAGAGTCAGCCTGAGGGTGGGGGGTGGCAGGAGGCAGAGGTTAGGAGGGCCACACCGGCACACACAAACACTGCTTCTGGGCAAATGCAGGATCAAGGATTCTCTCTCTGTTCTAAACAGGGAAGAACATGGTCAGATTTGCTTTTCAGCAGGATCACTGTGCCTGCCGCGATGGCCAGCGGAGATGGGCAGTGTTCCTTCACCTCCCGAGGAAGTTCACCAGGCATGTTTGAGGAAAAAGAATCATGAGCACACCACCGCACAATTTTTATTGAATGCTCAGTTGAAAGATACAGCCTTCGGCTAGTTGGTACCTTTAATCTACTTTCCAGAAATTCCAAAATACATTGGTGGAGCAAACCTGATCAGCGGGGAGCAGGTGCTCCCTTTTCACTGTGCACCTCTTTGGCAGACCCACATGAAGGCGAGCATAGTTCCCATTTTTAGCTCCACTGTTTTGGGCTCCACTTTGTCTTTCCCTGATCTTTTTTTTTTTTTTGACTTTTCTGGGGGTGGGGGGACAATTCTGTTGCATTTTACATACCTTTGCAAGTTGGCTTAAATCTTGCTTGAAATAAGGCCGAATAAAAGAGTTAAGTACACAAAGGGTGACTACAAGATTTTGTTTAGAATCTTTATGAAGACTGAAATGAAATACATAATGAAATACATCAGTAAGAGAAGCAAAGAATTCTTTCTGAAACCGCAAGCAGGAAGAGAACTAGTAAGAATAACGCTTCTGAGATAGAGTATGCACCAAGGGGCATCTGGGTTATTTTTCAGTTTGATTTACCATGAAATCTTTAAAATCATGGTGATGTTAAGTTGTTTTAATAAACAGATCTATTTCTGACACAGAAAAAGATTAGAAAAGCTTGTTCATTTCTCATTTCAGTTAAACACAACTATGATTTTCTGTCTTAGTGCTCATAAAAGTCAGAGCTAAATCCCAAAGACCTGAAGGGCAGTTCTGTCAAAGACTGATTTCTTGTTATTGTAGGTCAATTACTCAATATATTCTTCCTCCTAATCAGACTGCTCAGTCATTAATCAAAAAATCCCATCTGCTTTTCCCACTCCCAGAGGGGTTTCGGAAAGTATCCCAAACCTGGAGACACATACACAGCACAGGGTTATTTTTCCTT